AGTACGTGTTTAAATTTCACAAAATTTTTTTATCTCAATTAATATATAAATAATTGTAATTTGTAAAACAAAAAAAAAAAAGCTAAAATAGTTATGCAACATTGTTAATTCAATTTGTTGCAATGTTCTAGAGTAAATATGATAGGTTCAAAACCAAACATGTAATGTAATGAACAAATATTTTCTCGATAAAAGTCAACATCCTAAGTGCTCAAATAAAAATCTCTTTTTGAGTAAAACTAAAAGATTCTGAGTTGTGAATTAAAATGGTAAATATATAGTTATTATAGTTATACAAGTGAGTAGGTGAAGAGATAAGTCATTGAGCAACATGAAAAAAATGAGGTTTTTGATGATGGTGGTAGCGGCATACCTAGTGGCATTGTTATATGTAATTTTCATGATAATGGTGGTAAGGATAATGTGCTATGAAATTTACAGGAGAATGGGGAGGAAACCTTTGAGGAAATGCAGGAACTGTTTGAAGAATTGTTTCAAGATGACATTGTTGAAGGATTCGGATCTGGTTGTCAATCTACCACTCCCTGCTCTACATCTTCCTCGTTTGTTTCTTATGGAGAAAGTTCCGGCTCCAACAACCGGAATTCCTCTGAAATGAACTCGGGGGAGACAAACATGGAGGGTTCTGGTTTCAACGCCCGTTTTCACAACTTCTGTCTAGGAGTAAGTATCTGTCCTCTTATACATATATTATTGTTGCAATGTATGATTGAAGCTGATATGATTCTAAATAGATGGTTCTGATTCACCTGAAGCCAGGTGGAGGGCAAGTAAGATTTCAAGGCGAAGGGCAGAGGTGCAAGGGGAGGAATTCAAGGAAGAATAGGCGGTAATGCTAGTAGTAACAGTAGACGGTGGCATGACAGGAACCAAAAAGGTTTCATCTGAGTGTGATGTTTCCCTCACTGACTATGGCATTTCTGCTTCGTGATATACTCGATTAATCTAAATTCAATATTTTTACCATTTCGGCCTACGCACCAAATTGACTTTGACAAGTTGGGTGAAGAAGAAAGGCAAATTCTGTAGAGAGCACAGAAGATGTAGCTGAAGCTTTCTGATTATATAATTTAATGTGCCGAAGCGTTGGTGCCGCCGGTGTGGGAAGCCAAGAAAATATTGCAAGGGAAGTTTAATTTCTTGGTTAAGCAATAGATTAGAGATTAATTTTTAGCCTATAATGGATACAAATTGGACACTATCTACATTTCAAAATGTGTCTCTCACAATCTGAACACCGAGCTTGTGGAAGTACTATCTTAGCTTCAATGTTAGTACTGTAATATGTTGTGTTGTTATGTAGTTGTAGGTTTTTTAATCTTCTATAATTTAAAAAATATAAAAAATATTAATTAAAATTAATAAAGGTACATAAAAATTAATTATAAATTATAAATTTACATTTTTAGATAATGTGCTGTATAAAATATATTTGTGAAAAATACTATCAAACCAAACCCTTGTATAAGTATGCAAGTATAAATGCTTAAAGACAACTCTAGAGCAATCTTGTATCTTCATTGTACATTGTCGATACGAAAATTTTAGTTGGGATGATAAGATCATATATTCCATCATGAATCACATCTATAAATTCAACCACAATGCCAATGATCTCATTCTCACGAAAATTGATGGCACCTAGAGTTATAGGTCATCTGATAAATGGTGCGTTTACCAACTTTATAAATTAGGTTCAACTCCTTTCTTTTGTTTAAAAGTTGTAATTGTTTAAATCTCACTTTCGAGTCTTAATAATTTGTTTTAAGCATTTAAATGTTTAAGTTTGTTGGTCGGGATTTCGAACTCCATCAACACCTTGAAAATCGCATTCCACTTTCTTTAAAATTGTACACTGTTTAAAAAAAAAGTTGTACTTATTCAAAAAAAAATTTCTCACCGAAATTGATAAGATACAATCTTTAAAAATTAAGAAAAATCATGAGATTAAGCCGATAGTGCTGCAGGGGGGGTCCTTCTTCACGTGGAGTAGGTCCAATTGCATTGAGTGAATCCAAACAAGCACAAAAAAGCCTCATTTGTATGCTTTTTGGTTTGATGGTGAGTGGTCCCATCTGCCTTTGCAACTTGCCATGAGACAATATTGGTCTACTTTTCTTCGCATTTTTTCCCCTTCACTCTCAGAAAAATGCCACACAACTTGAGCAACTTGCATTCATCATCTGCCCCTTACCATTTATTCATTCTTTTCACACCAAATCTCACACGTTGATATCAAGAAATATCTAATTTGGTCTTCATTTTCATTATATTGGATTATCTTCTAGGGATGTTTGGTGGATCATGGGTGTCTCTAAATGTCTTATTCTCTTTTGGAAGAATATGCGCTCAATTTGTTTGAATTAGACATTTTTATTATTGAGAAATAGTTTTTTTTTTCTTGTACATTATTAGCAAAAGAAAAGAGAAAATGGTCTTATTAATAGTGGATATATAATTATTTTAAAAGTAAGGGTGTAAGATTAAATGATCCATTAATTATTAAACACTCATTTTTATTAAGATTTTGACATTATAATTTTTGGGTATGCTAGGTGGGGTTTAGAACAATATTGTTTGTTGTCTTTTAAGAAAAAGTATATTTTTATAGTCAACCTAACTATCTAAAATAAATTACACTATAATTAATCAATTATTTACTATAAGTGATGTTTGTACGATTTGTACTATCAATCTAACATTTCTATAGTCCAAACAAAAATTTAGATATAAATTAGTAAAATATTCTTAACATTGCAAATTATTAGATGACAACAACAATCCTAGTTTCAAGATCCATTGAGCAATTTCTATGAACAACTAGCATATATATTAATATTAACATGAATCTCCAAATGTTTTTTATGCCCTTAGTTTCTCCCAAAATGTGTTTGTCTAATCAAAGAACAATCTTGATGGGAACAAGTCGGGGTTTGAAGAAAAAGAAAGAAAACGTAACAAAGTGGCCAAGCTGTGCGGAAGATTTAAGAAAACAAAAGGTTGGAGAAAGGCAGAACTTGATGTTAAATTTAATGTCTACAAGTGGAGAAATTTGGGAACAAAGTTGGTGAACACCAAGTTGGTATTAGTATCAACAAGTTTTAAGACTAATAAATTTAATCTAGATTCACGCCCTCCTTCATTTATAATGTAGATAATTCCCAATTGCAAAGGAAGATTCATTTTTTTCCCTAAGTGAAATAATTTGATCTTTGATGTGATTCCTATGTAATTTTTCACAAGTTGGTGGAAGATCCTAGAGTTATATGTGAGTTGTCATGATGCTCTTATTGCCTTTTGTAGATTATTCATTTTTGGCATCTTTGAAAATGAGAGCAATAGTGGTCACCCAAAAAGAAATTGAGAGCAATTTACATGGTAGGCATTTTGTTCTTTGATGATTCGATCAATGTGGCCATTGGATCTTGGGCCCAGATTGTGTTAGAGTTGGGTTTATACGGGACCATCTTACACTAATCAAAGGACATTGGGCCTTTTGGGTTTCATAGCTAGTTACCTAACCTTGTCATATAATTGGGTTTGTTACTTTGTTTTATGTAAAATGGGCTCCTAGCCCACTACAGAAGCCAGACTATCTTCTTTTAGGCCACGAAGAAGCCCAATTATCTTGCTAATAGTTATTGTTACTGAGTCAATAGCACATGGGAATTCAGCTGCAATATAATTATTTGAACATGGAATTCTTTCCCATACATTGCAAAAAAAAACAAAAAAAAAAAGGCTATTGAGACTGAACATGTAGGACAAAAAAGAAAAGTGGTAAAAAATTATTATTTATCTGTCTTATCTCTTAAAAGTTAAGAGAAAAATTATTTTAAAATTGTCTAGTTTTAATAAAATATTATAAAAATTGATAAAAAAAATATTTTAATTTATATTTTAAAAATAATATATTTTAATTTTTTTTCAATAAATATTTATAAAAATAACATAAATTTAAAATAATTTTTTTCTTAATTTTTAAAAATAAAATAAATATATACTATTTTAAGTTACAAAACTAGGATTCGCTATGTTAACTTAACACAATCTTTGTAATTTAGCATACATTTACGCATTTAATATTTTATGACATTTCAATCACTTCTGTTAGACAATGTTACTCTTGTAGACGTCATTTGTCTTATAGATGTAGCTAACATGAACTTGAACTCATGCAGTCACTGAATTTATGAGACGAAATTAAACCAGAGTCTAACCATTGTCAGTTTTTCAACAAAAGAGAATAAAGAAAAAAAAGAAAAGAATCATAAACAAAGAGAGAAAGAAGGATGAAATAGACAAATTGATGGTACTGATAACAATATTTTCCAGAGAGAGAAAGAAAGATATAATGTTGCGGCTCTACACAAAAGTCTTCTTGCACTAAAGAAGGAATTAAAGTCTAGTGACCAACCAAACTCCAAAGCAACCTCAAGGGAGGTTACACTTCCGCCTGCATGTCCTCTTCTCTACCGCACAAAAGTCTTTCTGCATTCAAGAAGAGAAGGAAGTCTTTGTTGGGACCATTTTTAGTTTGTACGGAATTTGGGAGAAGGTGAGAAACTTGACGTTTACAACATTAATTGCTAATTGGGTACCCAATGTGAAAGTCAATTAATGAAAGAAATCCACCGGTTTCTCCTACAATGGGACCTTCAAAGTCTCATGTGTCTTCTTATCGAATCTATTTTTTATTTTCATTAAG